GGAATCGTGCAGGGAGCGTTTTCACCCACGCAATCGCCGGGAAAACATAACAATCTCTTTCTGCTCGACTGAAAAGTCAATTACGAACGCGTACGTGTACTACTCGCCTACTTGTAGAACAAGTCATTTCTATTCAAGAACCACAACTGGAGCCGAGCTCTTATAGGAACAAAGTAACGCATAACGCTGGGTATTATTCATCTTACAGTAGTTTACATAATTTCTTTTTAATACTTCCTTTGATAACTTTAAACTGTTTCTCAAGTACCTAATAGAATTTAGCAAATTGGTGCAATAAAGTGTTAAGGAAAATAGAATGAAATAGCGACTTATTTTAACTGTTGTTAAAGTTTCATTTAGCATCAGATGTAATTCTTTCAGAACAAGAATAGAGAGAAAGATTCGATTCCCGTCTAATTTTGGCGAACTCTAAGAGGTTTCGCAAACATGGGACAGGACGTTATGTTATGATAGTTGGCGGGTGATTTGCTCGTTCACGCAGTTACTCGCGACTGCCTCGTGGTATTTTCCTTGGTTTCTGGCCCGTTCTGGCTCGTGGCGATTGTAAATCTTGCGCTCTGGGCCCCCGCGGCCAAGTATATGGCAAGTAACAGCGGCCACGGGTATATACGTCCGCCAACCCTTTCTACCTTCCCTTTCACTTTCATCTATCGCGGTGTACACTCGAGGCCCCTTCAGGACTTGCTTGCCTGTTTCTCGCTCGCTTGCTCGATCAACTTGCTCTTTTGCTACCTACTTGCTCTGGCGCGCCGTACAAGAAAGAGAGAGAGAGAGAGAGAGAGAGACAGTGAGAGGGAAAAAAAGTAAAAAGTGAAAGAAAATGTACGGTGACGTGTGTAACGAAAGAATTGTTTCGCCTGCGAGTGCTGGCCTTGAATCGGCGATGATTAACTTAACGCTTCGGCAAGCGATACCTCTTGAAAACAAGTTACTCCCTTACTCTTTAAGCTTATCGTCTAACTATAAACGTTCTATGAAAATAATTATCAATTATTATCATTTAAAACAATGCTGCTTAAATAATGTTATGCAGTGCATATTGAATATTTTTCTTTAACCTTCGAGAAAGCTATTATGTAAGTTTACCTTTATTATAATACTTACTCATTCTAGTTCTATTCTATTTATTACAATTTGATCTATCATTAACATATTTCGTAATGCTAGAGTTCGTCAGAGTCACGGATTTTCCAATTTTATACGGGAAACGCCGTCGTTCCTGTTTCATCGGTCTGAATGGACGTTGAACTGCACTGTAACGCGACCGATCCAGCGCATGCAACAGAGGTATGCAAAGCTATTTCCGAAGAAGCAAATGTAATTTAAAATAGTGACCTGCAGACAAGAATCGCGTCGCGTCGAGCCGAGTCGTTCGCTTTCTTTGTAACCTGGATGAAATATGGCTGAGGCCGAGTTGAGGTGCCGGGTCTTTCATGCGACAGTGAAAGTGTCCCAATTTTCAGAAGAGAAAGAGTTCCCGAAAACGTTAACGGTAATACGAGAGACACGTAACCATTGTCGAGCGTGCTGTTAGAACCTGTTATTGCTGCCCGTCGACAAATATAGAAATGCGCGTAGTAAAATTGTTAATAAATCAGATAAGTTTGAAAAATACTAGTTCCAATTCATCTGATACGAAATACCCTTTCCTTTGCTTTTACCTTGCTTTGTTAGAATTAGATAATAAAGAGAAGTAGCAGACATAATATTTTTAAAATCTGGATTATCTTTAGTTTTTAAAAAATGATTGTAGCTTTTAAATTATATGTAAGTATAATTATATTTATATGAATGACTAAATGCGCTCTTTGGAACAGTTAAGGAAGTATGTATTTGTCTGAAAATTTAATAATTGCATATAATTTCAAGTTATAATGCAGCGCGAAAAGTAATTTTCCTGACATAGTAAACAGGGAATATGCATTTGAAATTAACTGTTCTACTAGGTTGACAATGAGAACGATGTTGCAAATTATGGATGATAAGAATTATCTTACACTTCCATCGCGTCAAAGAATCTTTACGTCCTTTAAGAAAGGTCGTGCTTTTGTATAATAATAAGTTTTCAAGCAGCATTTGTCTCTCGACGGTTATGTAGAATGTTACAACACGTCTCATTAAGTGGCAGCATTTTCTCAAATATTGTTTCATTCCATTCGTAAATGCTCGTCGCTGTCACAGGATATTCAAGCTTTTCACGAATGCAAAACTTACATACATTTGCTGAATTAACCTTGTCGTACGATGAAATAATACGAATGAGCTTAGCATAAACACTGTTGGTTATCATTCAACGAATGGTGTTACGAAATGTATGTAATTCACGAAACCAGTTTCTTCGACGGCAATTTGTATTTTATCTATACACCCGTATTGCCGAAGGTGACTCCCTCGCAAAAAAGGAATTGAAAAACGATAAGCTACGAAATGTCCATTTGACAATGAGTCTGTAAACGAAACTAGGCAGAATTATTAACTGCATAATATAATGTACTTGTTAACTCATATAAAGAAGTCGAACTTTTTTGCCGACAATTCGTCATTTGTTTGATTATTTTTCGTTTCGAGTCTTTCTCTTTTCATTTACATAGTCGAGGACATTTTACCGTGACGCGTCTGCCTTTAAAAACGCGGGTTTATTGTCCCTGGTTTTCATCCGCACGCCATGAACACCGTTTTCAGAGGTGAACTTTCTTACATGCTCGCTTACGTGCCTCTACTGCCTCTCGCCGCTCGCGTACACCTAACTGACAGCGTAATTTCTCCTTCGCCATTGTTACTCTGAAACGATCTCGCAATCGTCCTCTCCCTCTTGTGACACGCTAATCATCCCCGGAACTCGTTACGTCGCGTCGCGGAACGGCCGACCCACATACCGAATTTCTCGTTCTCCTTCCGAACCGTTCCGCCGTTTCCTGGTTATTTTTGCCATATCCGCCGGCCATTCAACTCGGAATAGCCAATAAAATGAATGAACATGTGAGTGTGAGTGAATGATTATTTCAGAGAAAAACACGTCGGTAATTGCTACTGCTTTTTGTTTGCGATTTAAATACATTTGTTGCCACAAAAACTGTCAACGCTAACAGTTAATTGTACTCTTTATTGCGAATGCTATTCGTTTTTAAAGTATGGAATAGAATCGTTATGACAGACGAAGATTAATGGTATTTAAAGATAAAAGTACATGTTAATTTGAATAATTAACGAATTATGATACGAACAATTTTCTTTTATCAAGGTCAAAGACAAATTAGCTTTTTACTACCGACAATGGAATTTGTAATAGGTTGCCGTTTAACCAAAGCTTTCCCCCTAACATTATCTGGCGGAACCATTTGTCAGATGGAACAGTGGCACAACGTTGCAAAGGTAATTGCAAGTTGTCGAGGTGTCGGATTAGATAATCGCCGGAGATAAAACGCGGGCTGATCTCCATCGGGTAACTTGACTGGCTAGCGACACAGATAAACGAAGGCATCTGGAAAAATTTAAATGCCACCCGGTCACGCGTTGCGTTTCGGAAATGATTCGCGCCGCGTTCGCACTCGGCGAACAATGCTACTGTTGCGCGATATCGGGGGCTCGATAACACCGGAGAGGCTCGACTACCCGAGTGCTACAAAGATAAACGCGTTATCAACGCGACCTATCTTCCGTTTTCAAGAGTATCTTTTCGGAGCTCTCTCCTCGAGATGAGAAACAATGCACGCCTTTCTACGGTGCACGGTTACAGGAACATTAAACAATATTCTTACATTTCTCAATTAATAGAATTTCATTAAATTCTGTATTGGATCAGACCGATAATTCTGTACTGACGGATATTCGTTAACTCTTAAATCATTTAAGCTTGCAGGATTGATTCCCTAATGAGATGACAAGTGTTACAATTATTCACCGATGTATCACTAATTCGCGGATTCCATTAATACATGTAACAGACGCGCGATGCATGTGCACACGCGTGTCCAGGTAGACCGACACGATCGCAATTGGCACACACTACACACGTTAACGAGTCCCCACCCACAGTGTGAGATCATTGCGATTACGTAAGTGTCCAGTCCGCGGTGTGGACGCGCATAAAAGTATCGTGTAGCACGGAGCATGCCGCTCTAGTGGACGATAGATCGTGTTGTTCCACCGTATAGTTCTCCACTATGCTAGAATTTCGAGGGAAAGGAGAATTGGCTGATTTCTTTCGCGAACTGACTCGGCTCGGGCAGAGAAACGATACGGCGACGCGACTTTCCAGGATTCCCGCATTTACGGCTCGCGTTCAACAGGTCGAAGTTTCTGAAACGTTAACGGTAACTGCTATGCAAGGAAAAGAACTCCATATCGCCGTCATGATATGAAGAGCTGAACGCGTATAGATCTTCGCCGACGATTATTGCATTTATCAAAAAATATAAATTAAAGTACAGAATCGTATAACGTACACTAGAGGACGAGCATAACAAAAAAATTAGTAATTGTTCAGGAGTTAAATAATAGAGATACCAATTGACGATGGACCGAGCATCGTATCTAGATAATTTTGAAACGGCACGAAAGCATGTGGACGGAATGACAGTGTGGCGCTTGTAATAGGATTCACAGGTAGCGAACGATCAGCCGCAACGCGAGGTATTGCATAACATTTTGAAAAGTCGACGTAACGTGTCGGAAGTCATCGTTAACCGCGGCTACAGTTTCGTCACGACTGACCAAGCGTGAATAAACAAATGAATAACTGACCAATGGTTTGGATCGGCTATATCTATTCCTGTTCCCCTTTGAATTTTCGTTGCTGGCTTCTCGCTTTGAACAAATCGTCCGCTTACGGCGGATTTTCTCGTCGACAACAGATAGGGCGTCGTTCGATTTCCGACTGACGATCGTAACTAGGTACCAGTAATAATTATTCAAGGTTACGGCGTGTTGCAACCGTGTATCGGCCGACTAGTAACTATGTACATGCATGTGCGCATTCTACGTGCATAAGTACATATGCAGTCGCGCCGATGAAAGTATCGGCGCGATTAAAGAACGTCCGCGGGCATGGTTGTGTGCGCGCGAGAATGGTATCACTTGAATAATACCTACTGCTTTACTTTTATGAAAGTATATCATTTGTATCTTTGCATTGACGTCAAGCGAAAAAAGAATGTATGGGCTGCGATGGACGAGCTAATGAAAGAAAGACGTAGTGAATTCATGCAACGCGTGTTACGCAATAATAATTATCGAAACGAAACTATTTTTCTAGAAGATCTGCTGTTAACACGAAGAGCGTAAATTTCTCTCGAACATGCGTAAAAGTAAATTTAATTTACTTGTGTAGTTATGCTCAATACTGGTAGCCGTGCTATCGAATCAGATTTACAAAGAAAGGTAGCTCGCTTTAAGGATTATTCGAGTCTAACGCATCGTTAGGCAATTGTTGCGGTTGGCCCGATCTATTTCAAGAAAGCGTGATCATCTCAAGGCGAGGCGAGTATGAAATTGCATAGAGAGCAGGAGTCTACTTCTCGCAAAACGTTGGTCATCACTTGACGTTTCTCGTTTCCGCCTGACTCATTTATGCGCCGCAGCAAGGCCGAGCCAAAAGCAGCGATCTTGGCTTTATTAAAATTTTCCTGCAAGGCGATTACAAGGTAGTGTGGTAAATGCGATCAAATAAAAAGACTGCGCTACTTGAACTAACTGAAAAGAAATATACGCGTGCCACTGCATCTGATTGCATTCTTGTAGGATTCCATTCCACTAACTATGTAACATGCACCGTCGATACGTGATGTTACAATAATGCGTAATTGCAGTGATGGTATTTTAATGTCAACTACGTTGGAAAACTTTAGATTTTTCTTAGTTCGGAGTTTTTTTAAATAAAATTTATCGTGACCTTTATTTATTTCAGTAGACAAGTAAAAGCTTTGATAAATGCATTCGTGTTATTTTGATATTTTTGGATTCTTGTCAAACCGAAACAAAGAATAACAGAACTTCGTTCTTAACATGATTAATGTTTCCCAAAAGATAGGTGAAGATAGATTAACACAGTGACGGATTGAGGAGTTTACTCATTTAACACATTGTGACTGGTCATGAGATTTGTAATACACTATTCCTTTCGAGTTGAAACGAGTAAAAAATATCGAGGAAAATAATAAATAACAACGCTCTTTAAAAATTACAGTCTACATTTGCAATACAAATTAGTACCTAGGACGTAGGATTTATATAAAGAACATCTCTACGACATAACTGCAACTTTTTCCTGGTTGCATAAAAAAGATATTTGAATTCATATCGAATTAGTTAGCACCGACATGATCATCATGTGACCGAAATGACTGATTCATCTTCGTGAAATTTTTAGCAAATGTACTCTGAAACCGTTTTTGTGATCCTCGTGACTTTCCGTGAAATTTACGAACAGGCGTTGGTACTTTTCGCACTGTTTCTTCATTCAGTTTTTACATCCGAGTTGCATGTTCCTTTCGTGCAAATAGATATATCTTAATCATCTTACCAACATTGACTCTAGCAGTAATGATTCATTTCAATTAGCTTCTCCAACGTTAAACTGAAGCATAGGCAGATTTGCCCTTCGGCTCCAAAACGCTGAAGCGGCATGCGTACGTGTGCCTGCTCTGGATAGTAGCGAGGGCGAGGGAGATGGATGAAGAGAGAAAGAGAAATATACAGAGAGAGGCGGGGAGAGAATTAACGGTGAAGAGAGGAAGAGGGAGAGAAGAGTGATCGTGATTGCGTAACACGAATGCACGCGAGTATCTCGCGGCCGCGTATGCTCCGATACGTAGGTGTATGTAGATCTTCTAGGTAGTGAAAGGTCATCCGTTTAATAGTCCTCAATCGCGGCTGTATGCGCCGATCGGATCTCCAGCCAGCCGATGACTAACCCGCGCGAGTTAGATGCATGCACGCTGCATCTGCCGGCCGATGCGCAGTAAAAGGTATGTACGTAAGTAGGTATGCGCTCGGTATGTATCTATGTACCAGCGGCAGCAGCCAGCCAGCCTAGCCGATACGATGATGCCAGGCTTTGACATTGAACGGATCGAAATCGCCACACGCCGCGATCGGCCGGCGCACCGTGTTTTCCTCAACTTCACCGCTAACGCTGACTGCTCCTATTCGATGCGTGACGATCGTTGCGCGAGCAATCGCTTCCGTTTTCTAACCGTTCCTCCCGGCTGTGGCAAACTGAACAAAATTCATTATTCGTTACGATGCGCCCCGTATCATAATATCTTTCATCGATGCTATTTTTAGTTTCGAGAATGATATTCTACTGCCATTTCACGAGGTAAACAGAAGTTTATTATTCAGTATGAGAAATTGAGCTGTTCCTATTCGGCTGTATCTTGTTTCCAGCTAGCTCCGTTTACATATTTAAAAAATGTCGCTTAGTAAAATGCGTCAAACTCGTTATTCGATGTCAATTGAAATCTAATTCAAAAATGTATTACAAACATTTCAGTAAAAATACTTCGACTTTCATTACAAATTTCACATATTCTCAAATTGCATGCAGTCAGTAACGAAACACGTATTGCGCGGTGGGAATGGGAGAAAATGAACAGAACGCGAATCGAAACAAAATAGCAAAGGGTTGATCCATTCGTCGCGGCATGTACGCAAACGTTTGACGTTTGAATTTCAAAGCCGCTTTCTAGGAAGCGTAACACTGCTCATTTATACGAGCGGCGCGGAACTATTATATCAAAGCCTTTATCATGAACCGTCCCGAGTTTCGAAAGGTCGAACCGGGATACCGGGGACACACGGCGTGCACACGTTAACAATTTTCATCGAGGGCAGTTCGCCCTTCGAGCCGCGCCGCGTCCGAGAGGAGAGGAGGATCACATGACGAGGTGCGCGGGTGGGTTCCAGAGAAACGTACGTTTATTACATAAGAGAACGCGGCGTAAAGCCCGATACACACCAGCTTGTTTACTTGCACACGGTTGCAGCGAGCGAAGGCGGCGTGCACGAACGGTATACGTAAGGAGAGAAAGGACGAGGCATCGAGATAGCTATGCATAAACGCATGTACATATGCAATTGCCAAAGTCTATTCAGCAACGATTTTTCTCTTCATTCTCTGTTGCGAATCTCGCGGAGTCCGGATCTCCTCCTACTTACGTGTTTCCGCGTTTCCACGTGCTCCTGCTGCTCCACGTCGCGTCGCATCGCGCCGAGCTCTCGGACGTCCTTCTGGTTATGCAACTGCTCAAAAGTGACCGGCGCTCAATACTGCTTCTGACATCATGTTTATCACGCGAGTATCCTGGAAAAAAGACTAACCGGCTGCGGCGTTAGCTATTATTTTAATGCGTCTACAATCGAGATAGTTGATTAATAACAATCGCAGCTTTCTTATTCGACGCGCGACCGGTTAAAATAGGCATTTAATTACCTGTTCCATTGAATACTACATTTAATTATAAGTTGAGTCAATTATCGAGTTTTTATTTTACTATATAAGTAAATTGCGAAAGGCGTATTGAATGAAGGTTACACTGCATAGAACGGCATATATGTTCTTCGTTTAAACGTGACATAAACTATGGAATCTGATTAGATAAGTAATGAATCTCGAGAAATTTGTGTTCGCAAATTATCACGGTCGACGGAATTACGTTTTTCTTGCACTTCTGGCGAACACTACGAAATCGTGAAACGCATCCGATTGCCCCAAGAGGAGGCGCGTGCGCGCGTAACAAACATGCCCTTCAGATCCACAATGATGGAGCGTCTATTAGAGGAGGCGATTGTTCTTATATAATGAATGGATCATGTAACTAACCGCTCCGCGGACTCTTCGCTTCGAGGAACGAGAGACAAAAAGAGTGACGAGGAGAGAGCGGTGAGAGAGGCAAGAGAGAGAGGAGAGAGAGAGAGAGAGAGAGAGAGAGAGAGAGAAACGCCTCCGCGCGTACACATACAAGGCCATCGGACGTGTGTCACGTACGCGCGTCGTCCGTACGTAAGCGCTTACCTGGTGGAAGAGTGCGTGCGACCGCGTACGTACCAGTTAGAGTTGGCTAGGTTGGTACGTAAGTGCAGCTGAAAAGGCTTTTTACTTTCTGGCCTTGAATGAAATGTATCCGGTGACTCGACGACCGCCGATAGGCCGAGGGAATTCTGTCCTTCCACCACGTCGCAACGAGTCCTTCCCGCTGCCCTGATCGCTGCTGTTTTTCGCATGCGATTCTTCATTTATCGGATTTTCTTAAGCTCCGACCCTTCTTCGCATCAAATAGTCAATTCCGACAATCAGAGCTTCATCTCTGATAAAATGATGGATTCACTTCATAAATTCTTTATTCGACTTGTATTTTTGCACGATTCTATCCATATTCGCAAAGAGTCAGCATTTGTTTTTTTCAAGAATTTCTTTAAGGATCAAAGGCGAAAGGGTTTGAATATAATGAAATAGGGGATTTCTGAGAGGTGACGATAAGTAAAAGCAGCTTGGAGATAATTTTGAGAAGAATGCTAAGTGCGTGAACGCCTGTTTGCATTTATCGATGCCCGGCCGATTCCACCTTTTAATACTTAGCTTCCACGGACAAGTGGATAGGATAATAAGCCTCGTGGCGCAATGCACTTATCGCACTTGCGATCCAGAAACGTGTCCCCACATCATTGCTCTTCTCGAGCGTGAAAGTATTTCGAAAGCACGCAGGCTGTACGGCTTGCTCATACAATTTCGAGTAGAATAAATACGTTCGAAGAATTTATGACATAAGACAGCTTGAAAAAATGACAGTCCTCTTAGTTTGTTGATTCTGTGCGTTTTTAGAAACGATAGGGATACCAGCTTATTTTGGTTCTCCGTTCATTTCTCGCGTATTATCGTTTTTCGCAATGCCGAAAGGTACACCGGCGATTTTCGTAACACCGGTTGAAAAGCAAGAGGGCAACCAAGAGAGATGGAGAAAATTAGAAGGGGCAGAGGAGGGAAGGAGAGAGAAGTAACGGAGAGAGTACGTCACAGTCGACGGAGCGATGCGCAAGAGGGAGAGCGTGAGAGACCAGTTGGAAAATAGTGATTCGAAATCGGGGAAAGGTGTGAGTCACAGGTTTCACGGGGTGTCATAACCCTGCCCTCCGCTCGCGTTTTCGTTTCTAAAACATGAAATCTAAACGCAGTTTAATCGATCAAGAATTAACGAGCCGTGAAGCTGTTTCTAACCGACATAAAAAAATGACTCTTTATTTTTATCCAAAACAGTTGCCTAACTATTTTTTTAAATTGTCTTATCAATTATTTCGTGACTGATTCAATCTCAAACTGTTAGCAACGATTATTCTTGTTCTGTAGAAAAATGTTTCAACAGACGACTAAACCAGTCTGTCGATCCACTACGTTTCTCAATTTAAAGAAAAAACACTTTTATAGCTTCCGATTATTTCTTAGAAGTTATAAAACGGCCATCAAACGGGCGCGGTGTTCTTTTAAAAAGGCCATCAATGTCCATGACGCGTTCGATGGAATTCTGGCCTCGGTTCTCTGGATATTTTGCGGGAACGCGTCGCATCCCCGCAAAGATTTTCTATGGTGTTCCGAGCGAGTGCTTCCCAAAGCCGTGACGTGCGTGCATGGTTTTACGGTACGCGAGAGGAGGTGTTTCGATGAGACCGCGAAACACGGACTATTCAGGCCCGGCGGAACGTAATTGGGCCCACAAAAAATAGAGCGGAAACGCCTGGACCCCATTACAGGTCTCGTAACGAGTTCTCCGTGCGTTGCTCAATCCACGTTGTAGAGCTCGGTTCAACTCGGACGGTTTCAGCAGCCTCGCCCCAATCCGCCGTGATCTGTTCTCTTCGCGATAAATACCAAACAGCTCAATTACTGCAATTGCAAACGGTCATAATCGAGAAAACAGGAAATTGTGTCAGGTGAATGAAGCAGCCATACAGCAGTCAAATGTGCCAATTTATTGGGAGAATTTCATTTGATGCTTTTAATATTTCCTTCCGAGAAGATATTTTCTAACTCCTACTTACAGCTTTCTTCCATTACTGTTTAATCGTCGAGGTCGATAAAAGTGGACTATGTTCTACGACTCATGGAATGTTGTTGATGCATTTGATTATTCTGTTTCCTAGTTATCTATGCAAGAAGTAAGAAATCAATAGACGATATACATTTTAATGTCAGTGTTGACGATGCAATTGACAGAGTTGTCTCCAGTCTCCTTCTGTTTCAATTTGACTCACATACAAAGGATAATACTTAGGGAGGTAATTGAAAAAAAATCTTTTCTTTAGCTTTCCATGCTTTGTGTGATGAGTGTCAAACTACCAACGAGGACGATTCCTTTAATTAAGACTCGGTTTTCCAAACGGGAGTTGAATCTTTTTACGACAGTGTGCGAGTGTCTCCCTCTTCTTCTCTCTCTATCTCCGCGCTTTAATTTCCAGCCTCGACATTTGCGTAACCCAGTTTCGCCATTGTTCGATTCAATGGTAGATCGTAACGTCCGCCATCCGGATAGAAGATTATAATGCCCGTGTGTATGTAAGCGTTATGGCACTGCGCATCGTTGCCTCCTGCGTGTATGCGCGAGTGTAACTCGTGTAACGACGAAAGTGCTTGCACGTAGACGTGCGCAGGTTCACGCACACGTGGAATGCGACGCGGAGCGTATGTATTTGTATGCCGAGGCGATAAGCGAGGAGCGACGTTCACGGAGTTCGCGTAACGAAATTTACGAATTCCAGAAACTTTCTCCTCTCTTATTCTTATCTTAGCTCTGGCTCGTGAACTCCGGTTGCACCAGTTCCCACTGCGTCGTCTCCTCGTTTTTGTTACGCTTAATCGCTGCACCAGATCGCTTTACTTCAGATCTTTCCGCGCGAGACATCGCATGACTCTTGGTACGTCACAGAAATTGAATTACGTATCAATACCATTTTACAAATTTAAATTTATAGCCAGCAGGTCATGAATATGTATTGGAAAAATTTATACGTTTGTTTTCATCTCCGATTCAACCAACGATCCAAATGCCCACTGAATATAAATTTCGGATAAAAACTGTGATTTACGTAATAGTGAAAGTTGTGATATCGACGTTCATTAGGACGAGCACGTTCTTATATTAATTTCGTATTGTAAAGTCAGTTTTATATTGTACAAAAAATGAGTTTCTTGCGAAGGAAATAAATATCTTAATATATGTGAACAATTTCTAAAACGCCTGTACCTAAGATTCTCGTATATTGATTTGAAAAAATTCGATGTTGACGTAAAAACCATTTTGAATATTGTTGCCCGCAATTTTTTGGATCCACCGCCAAGTGCGCGTCCGACGGACTTACAGTCGCGGCAAAACAGAACGTGATAGCCGTTTACCGACGCGATGCACCGAAATGCCGCTGATCGGCGAACGGGTTTGCTGGAGAGTGCAGCACCGACAAAGCGAGGCATCCTGGATAGTAAAACTGGTAATCGTCCCCCCACCGTGCCGAGGAGCAGCAAGTGGGCCAGAGTTTCTGCAACTAGCGGCGCCGGCGGCACGGGGCCTTGCCCCCACTTAGCACGAACGGCACGAGACCCCGCCCGGCAAGTCTTCAAGGCCCAAATAGAAGAAGAAAGACGAACGTAAGCGTAAGCGTGGACGTAATGCAGCCGGTCGGCCAGCGATTGACCCTGAACTTCAAGTCGTGTGCTCGCTAACAGCAGCAGCAGCAGCAGCAGCAACAACGCGGACGCACCAGCAACTATTTCTTCATTCGTGATTGATGATTATTTATGAAACGTTGATACTCACGAAATTTTATTCATCGCATTTGAAACGATACTGTCGATGTACGAAGTTAATTTTTTTTTAAATTTGTATTCATTAGATTTAGTGTGGTGACACATCCTTTTCGATAACAATTCGAAATATACTTTTTACAATACACGATTACAATTCTTAGCCTCGTACATTACATAACATTTCTTTCATGCTCTAATTATTAATAGCTCGATACCTTGAGAGCCATAATACTGACTTCTTCGGCGATTTTCACGTTCGCGAACCGTTTCTAAAAGAGAGAAAAAAAAACCGAGGTTTCGCTGGCGTTCACGAGTGTTAAGCGTGAAACTTATTGTGGCTGGGACACGTTTGACATTGCGGAACGCGTCGATGTTTACGGCATTGGTTTCATAATATTAATTATACTTCTGCTCGCTGAGAGTGTATAACGTGAAATCAAACTTTCTCTCCCGCGGCTCCCCTTGAGTAACGAGCGAGCTCTCCACTCTTGCGCGCCGAAATGTCAAATAATTTTCAAATGTTAAAACAAAAATCATTAAAAAAAATGTAATTCTTCTCACGATTGATTTAAAAGTGTTAAGACGCGCAATATAAAAAATTATTTAAATTAGATCCATTTATTTCCTGTGTAATAATTGTGTTTTACTTCCTGGTAATTTGTTAAGTATTTATGCACGTATAGTGATAATTTAACGCTTCATCTTTTCCTGTGACATTAAATTCAACAAATAAAGGCAGATAATACTTACAACGAATAAATAATAGTACACGACAGGATACGATGATACGAATAAATGTACAATTCATTTCCCGGCGTGCACGCTGCGGCGTTATTTTCTAATCATGAATTAAAGTGCAGTGCAACTTACATGAGTCACGATAACATTTCTTTGCGAGTCTCCGACGCGGCGGTAGCGACTCGGCGGCGTTACTTTAATAGGAAATTTCTCGAAGAGCCGGCAGAGATCTGCACAGGATTTCCCCTATCTGGCCCAGCCAGATCATTAATCAACGGAAAGCGACTGCTTAATTACGCGATTGCATCCTACAGAAAGATGCAATTCTATTATGTTTATCGATGCACAGTTACCCGCGAACAATTACGTCAGCTGACGGCGCGTAAACTTGTTTTCTCTTCCCAGAAAGATAAAATTTTATCGTCTCATTTTGTTTCCCTCCCTCGCTTAATAACTGAATGCAAAGTAATTCAATTACCTTGAGCCCCGGCTCGTCTCGTAACAAAGCGTGTCGTTGTTCTCAGCGCTGAAACCGATTGAAATCGTTTTCGCGAACGCGTACACCTACCACGTTCGACGGACAGAATGGCCCCCGCTTAATTATATAGATGAGCTATCATTAGATGTAATTCAAACCCTTAGCAGAAAGTCGAGCGAATGTCAAAGAAACGTGAGAAACGTAATATTAGAACACGTCACCGCCTTCCGCCATCTCCAGCGTCTTAAGCACAGGCGGGGCACGGGAAGATTAAAATTAGTGTAACGAGAAGAACGAGAAGAAGCTGCCTGTCTTTGCATGACGCCAAGCGACGGGAGTATATTACTGGGTTAAGGACGTCGCACATATTTCACTTATTTCGTTGTTACGAAAGAATTTCCACGAGGACGGTTTAACTATCCGTATTTTTGACTTTGACATCGTCGCGTCAGTGATAAGACATTGTATTTTCTAGGGTTGAATCATTCAAGCGCGATTACGCGGTTATATATACGCTATTTTTCTTTATTTTGTTTACTAGTAGATAAAGATGCTAGTGTTGAAACAATCGAGAATTTTAATTATTATCTATCATTAAAAGACAAAAATGATTAAAGAAACATTTCCTTGTTACGTATTTTAACAATATCAGCAGATAGAACTTTATTTTTGCGAGAATAATTGTAAATATTATGTAAATTAGTATGCTGCAATGATATGAGAAACTACATAATCTCGTTTTTTTTTTTTTTTTTGCAGACGATGTATACTGACGGTCTCCTGACACTCCATTATGGGAAGCATCCAGCGACCTTGGCCGCGGAGGTTGGGGCCTGGTACACCGGGGACCGTCACGTGGACGTGACGTTAGCTTGCGATGATGGTTCCGTCGTCAAGGCCCATCGCGTAGTTTTGGCCGCAGCTAGTCCCCTTTTGGCTAGTCTCCTTCGCAACCCCGCGTTGGACCATGTGGTCCACTTGTCTGGGGTTCGAAAAACCCAGCTGACGCATCTGCTGGAATTTCTTTATAACGGGGAAGCTCTAATTCCAGTAAGCGTATTGTCTCATTAATAATTTTCACAACGGTGATTCACACGATTGATCGAACTATATCTTTATGCAGTTAACAAGATAAAAGAAATTTTGCACTTGCAGTACTTAAACTTCATTCTTCTCAATCAAATGAAATTTGAATAATTTAAAAAATATATTAGAGTGACGGTGAAATAATTGATCGATTATGCGATTCACTGTGTCGAAGGTCAAGGGTCGAGAAATAATTTGTCTTTCCTCCAGTCGACAGAACTCACACCGTTGAGGGAACTATTCGAGCTTCTTCAAATAAAGTCGGAGTTGTTTGAGCCGAACCAACCTCAGATTTCCAGCAACTCCGACCCCGAAAGGATACCAACCCCTCAGCCCTCCGAGGGCCAGGAGAGTTCGAGTTACGAATCGCAGTACGACGGCAGGTCGGTGTAAGAGTGTTAACTGTTCGTGAAATGTCAATACGATCAACGAAATAGATACCGTAATTTCTAAGATAGAGAACTATTAAGATTAATTTCTGTTCTCGTCTGATCTTTGCTCCCACGATGAAAGAGGCGAGAGGCTGTTGCAAGATATCGATTCGCATAATGTCATTCCCCTGAGCCTTTATACATCCTACAACTTTCGACATTTATTCGAGCTTTCAAATGAACACGCGTGATACCGGATCGCTCCCTCGGATATAATTTGAAAATTATACCCGCCGTCCTCGCGACGAATAGGAATGATTATCGTTCGCATTTCGGAATTTCAGGCAATCTAATAATCCTGCCGATTGTTGCTCGGTATTAATAAAGACCGAGGGCTGCGAGGAGGAACCAGAAGTAGACGTCGAAGGCGTCGAAGGCGAAGCGCTTCTTACGGAGAACAGAGAGGGCAGTATAGAACCGCCGCGACGGAGGGATAGTTCCGATCCCGTGAACTTAAGTTTAAACTCTGGGACTTCTACCACTAGCGAAAGTTCACACGATATTGTACCTAGGTAAGAATTCGATCAAGATTAACATAATCAAACCGTAGCATGAACTTTTCCATTATATTATGAATAATTTGTACTTTATTTAATCAGGCCAGAAAAACAATTATTGGAAAGGCGGGAATCTCTGGAAGAAGCCGAAGAGAGGAGGAGGCAATTAGCGACCCGGCTCGCGCTGGGTTTGGAACCCGGGAAACGAAAACCCGAGGAAATACCTATCCCACCTGCGGAGGCGTACATCGTGACGCCTCATCGGAAGCGAAGGCCAGGCTTTCACAACGCACCCGCACAGAATCCTGCCTTCGTACCGTTCAATCCTGGATTCGAGACGCCGAGACGGTTGCAAGCGCCACATCCTCTCAGCGTCTCGGCACCTCCGTACCTGGTAATTTTTTACTTTATGAACACGCTTACATATACAGTTATATTAATTGCTCTTCTTTTTATATAATGAACATCGTAAATATGCATGAATAAGCAAGAAATTATGTATTTAACGTTGATACGTATGTAATTCGATTTGATATCTTGTTACAGCAGGACAGGTCAGTGACGCCGCCAGGAGCGTCGCATAGACCACCGAGCGCGGATCCGGCGTCAGCAGCGGCTTTGGAACCACCCTGGGGTTCCTGGGCGCTACCACCTACGAGAGCACCCCCGCCCCCGCCGTCGGACGACCCGCCCAAGTCCACTCCCGTTCGCGAGTACCGGTGCAGCTACTGTGGAAAACAGTTCGGAATGTCCTGGAACTTGAAAACGCACCTGCGAGTGCACACTGGTGAAAAACCGTTCGCGTGTAGACTTTGTGTCGCGATGTTCAAGCAGAAGGCTCACCTGTTGAAGCACCTCTGCTCGGTCCACAGAGGCGTGATAGCTGCGCCGGACAACACGTTCACTTGTTGCTTCTGTTCGTTAAGTTTCGATAGTTTACAAGAGCTGATCAGGCATCTGTCCGGGCCGCACAATAATCTGCTCCTCAGCAAGAACCTGCACGACTAGCGACATGGTTAAGGCCGACCGGTGCTATGAAACGTGGCCTTGAAAACGCGTCCCGATCAGATTTCATGTGATCATGATGCCTGTTCGGGCATGCAGTTCTCGTTCAGATCATTCAAATTCGAATCGCAGTGCAAACTACTATATTCAGTATTCGAACATGGATTCAGCATTTCATTTATTTCCACTTTCGCCGCGTCTGACGCGAAATGTTTCGGTCTGAACGTCGATCTCGAGGTAGCAGGGCCACTGCGTGAAAAAGTAACTAGCTCCAATTATTTTCATACATTTGAGAATGTCTTTTGCAAAAACAAAATGTATTTTAGTATTTCGAATACAAGCGATCGTTTTCGTAAGTTGAAAATCATTGGAGGCACGTCGAAGCACGTAGGCTTAGCACGACGCGTTGAACACGCGTCGGACAATCGTTACCATTAAATAAATTAATAGAGTCGATGCGTGCTATGTTATAATGTGTCTGATGAAATTTTAACGATTCTACATAGAAACTATTCGTCGTTAAATAACGGAGCACCGGAAGGGCCTTTCACTAAAGCGTTACGTCGTTTTCGTCCTCTCAGTGAAGAAATATCCGAAGACGACGCAACCCGATTTACTATTACCTGTTTATTATAATAAGCGATGACCAGTAACTTTGACCAAATGACGTATTTCCGGCGGGGAATGTGTCGGATATGTTCACGGTCTCCCATCGGGAAACGTTAAGAAAGTCGGAACGAGAATAAGAATGTGAGAGAGACGAGATAGAGGCGAGAGTCAATTACCTTTGTCACGCGCCACGCCGTGTTCCGATTCGCTGAACAGCGAACAGTGAATTTTCGAAACGCACCTTCTCGTTGCGTCTTTACTTACTCGAAAAAGCTTTTAAACGCTTCCGTTCGCGTCACGTGACAGACAGAGCAGAGAGCCTCTCGTTTTACCTCAGCGCGCGCGCTAAAACAATCTCATAATAATGTAATGTGTAAATAATATCGTTAACGTTTAAGTGTAGTAGGAACAAAAGCGAACGGATATAATAATGATTTATTTATTTTACACTTTGCAAAGGGACCAACTGATTTTTCCACCGATTTCTGTCTTAGGTAGATTTTAGGTATCCTGCCCCGTCAATCGCCTCGAACAAATTCATTCGCTTTACGCAGAGTTCACGAACACGATTTCCGAAAACTAAGTATACGTATCTAAATGGAGAGACTTTTCAATCGAAGCTGACTGGAGCACAAAAAGATATCGACGTTCTCCTTTCAATGACTTTACGAAGAGGAACATTATCGGCGACGAGCACGCACGATCTTTGAAGAAGCGACAATAATTAGTTTTCATTTCGAAACGGCTCGTAGCCGATCGATGGAGCGAACGTTGCTAATGTTCTTCCACGTACACGTCCGCACAATCCTCGTCTTCCGATTTACGCGCTTGTCCTCCTCTCGTGTTCTCTTTCCATTTACTTTCCTCTATTCTCCTTCGAAACGTCTTTGGTATCTCAGCGATTCGAGTGCCTTGTTAAAATGGGTCCAAATTGGTCGATTGGGCAGTGATTTCATGTGTTCATAGGCTTAAGATAAGTACACGTGTAAGATGACGAATACGAGCTCGCTTAGGAATTGATGAGAATAAAAATACGCGTTAATTAATTCACATAGAGAAGATTTTAAATATTCACTCGAATTAATCCAAGTTTCGTTAGAGTCTAGATAGAACGTTTTTCTCTTTTTTTTTAAGTAGTAGCTTTTTGTTTCTCTAATTTCTTTTTTGTTGGCGCAGGACGTCATGATTTTTTTTTTAGACAGGTATTATTACCTAAGGTGCCTTGAGGAAGGGCCTCGACCTCTCTTTAACTCCTTGGCCATACGAAAATTCAAACCACGGAACAGGCGGTCTTAACGCAAAATTGAAACAATTCTAATCTCAAATTACACATTATACTGAATAATACCGTCTTTTTTCATTCTTTCTATACTCGCAGCTACATTCCACGCATTCACAAGTTCCGTAAGAAGATTCTTAACTATCAATTGTGCAGTAGTACATTTAATCTGCCTTCTTTAAACAAAACTACTGCCTTCACAATTTGCAATAACGATGAAAAACAAGACCGCTTGTTTCATTTGCCTTTAGCATGGCACGTTTGCAAGGAAATAAGTATCGAGTATAAAAATGCGTATACTCGATAGTAATAAAAAAAGAAAGGAACGTAAGAAGAGGTTGGAGGGGTGGTGTGCGCTCTCATTAAGCCAGGCAAAAATGGCCAGCACAAAACAGTGAACGCAATGTGATACTAAATGATAATAAAGATAAAGTAATTATTGTTTAGCGTGCAACGCTTCGCACGGCGCAATCGCACGGGCGCGACTCGTGGCTATTTCGATAATAAAATGAAACGAATCTAAGGAGGGAGACACTCTTTCGATCGCGGTAAGAAGAAGCTATGACAGACAGACCTTTTTTTCTGCGAGCCGCTTGAATAGATAATTCTTAGCGAACATACTAACTATTCGTCGTTTCCAAATCTCCCGATCCGGTCCCCCCCCCCCTGTCCCCCTATCCGGCCCCTCGTCCACTCTTCTCGAGACGTAAGCGCACTAGGATTACGTACACAGATTATTTTACCGTTAATTAGTTACGTTTATTGTGTATAAATACACACGCACTTGCGGCCAGATGCCCCGAGAGGACACGATGTTGTTTTATTTTTCTTTTCCCTAAAAGACATTGTGAAAAATAAAATCGTTCTCAATGAACCTCTCATATTTTTTCTTCTAACTGTTGCTGATAATTTTAATTAGCAAATTTTCATCGAGAGCTACACTGTTGTCAAGACTAATCGTTTCTTGTTTCGTGGAAATGAAAAATTGATGACGCGTAATATTAGTTTCGATTGATGCTCGATCGCAGATGAAGAGTATGAAAAATTGTCGTACATTTTTATGAGGATACATTCGTCTTACGTAGCCGTATTGTCCATAGTATTTTCCCTCATTCAAATGGCACAGTTAAGAAATAGTGCTCTTCGGACATCTGGTCTGAGTTTCCTAGAATTTAAGCATCTTCCGAGCGGAAAGCGTTTTCCGCGTGCTTTCTTAGTGTTCATAGATTTACAAGAAATAAATTAATTCAGATGAGAAATCTGTAAAAGAAGATAAACGAGCGAGTGGAAACAACTTGGCTCATATCAATTTTCCTTTCCCACTCCTTTCTCAATTCTTCAATTTTAATCAATCATTAGAAAATGTCATTCTTTACTGTAGATAACACTTGCTCTTAAATCATATACCTATTGTTTTATTTTATTATCTAATACATGAAAAACAAAAATTTGTTCTCTATCATTATAATCATCATCATTCTATCATACAATAAATTTTAAAACTAAGATTACTATTTATAGTTGTATAAATGTGAAAGTAACGATTCAGTATTTGAGATCTTTCGTAATGATTCCTCGTTAGATATTTAAAAGAATATCTATAGTCCAAACTAACGGTTCGATGACCAAAGGTTTCACACAAAAAGAAACATCGTCGAAGAAAACCCGTTACCGGTCGGGCCACAGGTTCAGAACGTTTTTATGTGTATGTATATGCTAAGTGGTTCCGTCCTTGTTGGCGGTGTCAATTGCATAATTACAAACGCGATAAGTAATAAGCTGGTTCTTGTTTTGTTGTTTCCAAGAAGGGAAACCTCCGGTGGATATGCCACCGTCTAGCTCTAGCCTGCTCCATTTGTGAGCATAAATACAGGTGCTGGTAAAGGTCGAGGTTACTGAAACCGGCTTCATGAATGACTGCAGGAAGAGGAATAACACCATCAAAGGTGCACGTTTCACAATCGTGCATTCCAAGATGCCTGTCGCAGTTGCACTATAATTCTTTAAAAAAGAGTTGGATATAAATAAAATTTGAAAACACGTGTAACCAGAATACACTACTCTCGATCATGTAAATTAGCGTAACGTTCAATGAAAAGGAAAGTTCGGAGAAGAGCTTACTATTTAATCTTTCCTTAAATTTTTATTAATAATATGAAATAGAATTGTCCTACTTATTTGTCACTTCATTTAAACAAGCTAGTTCCAAGTCTGTCTCTTCTAATAATTTCAACGTAAAAATATTTCTGAAAAAGATTCACCTTAGATAGGAAGGCGTACGATCTGATGATCTCAAAGATAATTCTAAAAACCCGAAATACTGTCCTTGTATTCATTTGTCTCGCTCCGGGCCCGTTACAATTACCGTACGTACCTATCCAGGAAATCTTGGCATTTGATCAAATTGACTGACACCGATACGCCGGCCGATGGATAGGATTCGTCTTGATCGAGACGAAAAAGTACCGTTGCTGCCGCGAAGTTGCATAATGGAGCTTGCGTTGTTCCCTTCTCGAAGCGACGGGTTGCCGGGTACAATACCACCTTGGGCTGTGAACTTCTTGCCAAGAAGTCGTCTAGCGACACTGACCAATGACCATCGTCTGGTGACCAAATTCTCCGGCTACCGGAGAGTACCGTAAGAACACTCACATGTAGGCAAAACAGAGGGGATACTGTCCGGTCAACGCACCTGCACTCCCTGGTTAATGTATATAAGGCCCAAGGCTCGAACCTCGCATCAGATCGTCCGCAGACATGATCGGGAAGATAATTTTGGCTCTCTCGGCTTTGGCCCTCGTTAGGGCCCAAATACCCAGCCTGGGATTCTGCCCAGACTACGTGCCCATGGCGAACTTCGATCTGAACAGAGTAAATATACCGTTTAACATTTCATTTATTAATTGTTAACTGATAATATGTAAATTAAAAATATGTATTACATACCTATTATAGATAAAATGTTGCTTTTTATATATCTTACAAAAGACTATTTGTATTAACATCAGGATTCATTGTTTTAATCAATTTTCAGTTCTTGGGCATTTGGTACGAAGCTGAGAGGTACTTCCAACTGACAGAAGTGGTATCACGATGCGTAATGGCAAACTATACAAAAACCGCTCAAGGTACATACCGCGTCAGCAATGAAGTCACAAACAGATTGTAAG